TTGGGATTTTCTTTTTTTTTTTAATCCAGTGTTTGTTTTCAGTTCTGATTTTAGTTAGATTTTTTAGCTACACATTCAATGGCACTCTCCTCTGAAACAGTGAATATACAGTTATATATGACAGTTACATGTAATTACATTGTCTGTAAATGCATTAAACACATAGAATATAATATAGTGTATGACAAATGTGAGAAATTCATTATAGTGTTATATTTGGTTTCCAAATCTTAAGTATCGGTTTAGGGAGTATATATATATTTACATTTACATTTACATTTACATTTAGTCATTTAGCAGTTTAGTTAGATTTTTTAGCTACACATTCAATGGCACTCTCCTCTGAAACAGTGAATATACAGTTATATATGACAGTTACATGTAATTACATTGTCTGTAAATGCATTAAACACATAGAATATAATATAGTGTATGACAAATATGAGAAATCGTAATAAAAATGTAATATGTAATAAAAACATTAACATTAATTAATATATATCCAAGTACACAATACATATATGACCACAAGAACTTCATATGCTTTTTTGTTTGTGTTTAGATAAATCGTTCAAACTAGGTTATTTCCAAATCATCCAAGCACCCGATTGATTTCTAATGTTTGTTTATTATGACCAGTGTTGGGCAAGTTACTCTGAAAATTTAATCAAATTACTGACTACTGATTACTCCTTTTAAAAATAATCACATTACTGTTCTGATTACTTTATTTCAAAAGTAATTAGTACTTATAGCCTAAATAGAAACGTACTCGGTTACTAATGTAACCTCGGTTCCCTGAGATACGGGAACGAGTACTGCGTCGCTAGACGCTACGGGAAACTCCTTTTCTCCGATTTACTGAAGCCTTTTTTTCAATCACAGCAGTGCATCTGCACTGCCATTGTTTCAGAAATGAACCAATGACGGCGCAGCCGTGCTGCGCGAGCCTATGGCGAAACAGCGCGCCCGAGCCCGCCAAAATGGGCGGGGCATCTGGCTATATAAGCAGGTGCTCGGCATAGGATCACTGATTCATATCGACTGAAGCGAATCCAAAAGGGGGCCCTGTAGATCAACTACAATGAAGCAGGCCATAGCCAGAGACCCGGATTCTTGTCGGGGTCAAGAGGAGGAAAAGAAATGGGCTAACTCATAGAGGTCGAGCCCGGCCTTACATAATCGTTCTTAGAGCTTCGCACAGCCTCGGAACTAGATAGGCCCGAGAGCGTGCCGGAAGCTAAGCCTGCAGCAAGACCTGAGCCTGCAAAGCAGGGACGTCTAGGTTGTAGAACCTGACAAAGGTGGATGGCGAGGACCAGCCGGCCGCCGCACAAATTTCTGCAATGGACACACCACTGGACCATGCCCAGGATGAGGCCATGCCTCTCGTGGAATGTGCTCTGACCCCGATGGGGCATTGAAGGCCCAAGGAGGAGTATGCAAGAGCTATTGCGTCAACTATCCAACGGGATAGTCTTTGCTTTGTGACCGGAAGCCCCTTGGTGCAGCCACCAAAGCATACAAAGAGCTGCTCCGACTGCCTAAAGGAGGCGGAGCGGTCAATGTAGATTATTAACGCCCTGACAGGACAGAGCAGATTTAGCTCCTGGTCCTCCTGCAAGGGGGGGAGCGCAGAGAGCGTGATTACCTGTGCTCTGAATGGAGTAGAGAGCACCTTAGGTACGAAACCATGCCTAGGCTTCAGGACGACCTTGGAGTCGTTAGGCCTGAATTCAAGGCAGGAGGGGCTTACAGAGAGCGCCTGTAAATCTCCAACTCACTTAACCGATGCCAAAGCCAATAGCAGAGCGGTCTTTAGCGACAGGGGTCGAATATCAGCGGATTGTAGCGGTTCAAAGGGGGGCCTTTGAGCGCCCTCAGAACCGTAGACAGATCCCCCGTAGGGACCGTAGAAGGGCAAGGGGGGTTCAACCTCCTAGACCCTTTCAAAAATCAAACAACGAGGTTGTTCCTGCCGACTGATATCCCGTCTATAGGAGCATGAAAAGCTGCTATAGCCGCCACATAGACCTTAAGAGTGGAGGGGGTGCGACCCTTATCCAACAGCTCTTGAAGGAAGGACAATATCGAAGATATGTCACATGTGGATGGGACAATATCGAAGATATGTCACATGTGGATGGATCTTCACCGCGGTTTGTACACCAAGCGGTGAAGACCGACCATTTGAGAGCATAGTGGACGGGCATAGTGCGGGCATAGTGAGGGCATAGTGGACGAGAGCCTTGTGGACGGGGCTTTAGCCTGAGAAATGGTATTTAAGACACCCTCTGGGAGGTTCATAGGCTCCCATCGAGAGGCCATAAGTGTAGGGCCCACAACTTGGGTTGGGGGTGCCATATCGTCTGAGAGAGGAGGTCCCGTCTCAGGGGAATGGGCCATGGAGCTGCCGTGAGCAGCTGAGACATCTCTGAGAACCATAGTTGGTTTCTCCAGAGCGGGGCCACTAGAAGAACCTTGTGCCTTTGTTCCCTGATTCGCCTGATGACCTGAGGGATCAGGGCGATCAGGGGAAAAGCGTAAAGGAGAAGACTGGACCAATCGTGGGCCAGCGCATCCCTTTCCTTCGAAAAAAATTGGGCAGTGAGAGTTGTCTTCTGAGGCGAAGAGGTCGACCTCTGCCTTCCCAAAGATCTCCCATATTCTCCGAACCGTCTGGGGGTGAAGCATCCACTCGCCAGAGGGGACGTTGCTCCGAGACAGCATGTCTGCTCCCTGGTTCAGTTTGCCGGGTATGTGCGCTGCTTTTAGGGAGCGCAAGTGGCAATGTGCCCACTCCAGTAGGCTCTTTGCCATCCTGAAGAGGCGTGGGGAGGAAAAATCGCCATGGCGATTTATGTAGGATACTACCGTCATGTTGTCCGATCGGACTAAGACATGGCATCCTTCTAGATGTGGTAGGAAGGACTGTAAGGCCTGCCATACTGCCAGCATTTCCAGGCAGTTGATGTGCAGCTTTGTCTCTTCGCTCGACCACGCGCCAAAGGCTGGTCTGCCGTCGCACAGGGCTCCCCAGCCCGTGTTTGACGCATCTGTGAAGATGACCTTCCTTTTGTGCATCATCCCCAGGGGTACACCCTGTTTGAACCATGAAGGGTCCTTCCAAGGGGCAAGGGCTGCGATGCAGGCTTGATCCACCTTGATACGAAGGCGTCCATGACGCCAAGCTCGGGATGGAACCAGGGGTTTCAGCCAGCGTTGAAGAGGCCGCATGCGAAGGAGGCCTAACTACAGTACTGGCGATGCAGAGGCCATAAGGCCCAGCATCCTCTGAAACACTCTGAGAGGAAGGGACGCGCCAATCGTGAAGGCGGTCGTCAGCCGCTGTATAGCCAGGACACGTTCCGGCGAGGCTACAGCTCTCATTTGGGTTGAGTCGAAGACAGCCCCCAGAAATGAGATTCGTTGGCTGGGAATCATTGAGCTTTTGGCGTAATTGACCCTGAGCCCCAAGCACTCTAAGTGGTTGAGGAGGGAGGATCTGTGGGCTATCAGCTCGGCCTCTGACTGGGCTAAGACAAGCCAGTCGTCGAGGTAATTCAGAATGCGGATTCCCATCTGTCTCAGAGGGGAGAGAGCCGCATCTATGCACTTCGTAAAAGTGTGTGGGGCCAGAGACAGCCCGAACGGCAGGACCGTGTATTTATATGCCACTCCCTCGAAGGCGAATCTCAAGAAGCGCCTGTGACAGGGGGCTATCTGAATGTGAAAGTAAGCATCTTTCAGATCCAGAGTTAAGAACCAGTCCCCTGGGCGAATTAGCGAGACGATCTGTTTCAAATTGGTCATTCTGAATGCGCACTTTACTAGGGCGCGGTTCAAAATCCTGAGATCGAGGATGGGCCTGAGGCCGCCATCCTTTTTGGGGACGAGGAAGTAGTGGCTGTAAAAGCCTGACTCGCTCTGAGCTGGCGGGACAATTTCTATGGCCCATTTCGCCAGCAGCACAGCCACCTCGGAATGAAGAACGCGAGTGTTCATGTTCCCTACTAAGGTGGGGATCACACCGCAGAAACGCGGGGATTCTCGAGCGAATTGGAGTAGATAACCTCGTTTTATAATCCCCATAACTCACTTTGACACGCCATCGAAATGGGGATGGCCTGCCAGGCCTCGGCCCTTGTGGCAAGGGGTTGAATTGGTTCGGGCGGCGGGTCGCTGTGAAGGGACCCGGGGCTCGCCGTGTTTGGAAGAGGAAATTTGCTCTCTTTTTGAGTATGTTTGTGTTTTATTTTGTCCATTATCACAACGGTTGTGCATTTTGGTGCTGGAACGGGCCCTTTGCATGCAATAAACCCGCTATCACAGCGGTTGTACACTTTGGGCACTAGAACGGGCCATTTGCATACAATAAATATTTTTCCCAGCACCCGGAACTGGACGGGGCTACTGGGAACACATACGAGGCAGTTTGGGGGGTGGTCCGGCCACAGCGAGACTTTGCCCCCTCCTCTTCCTTCCTGAGGGATCAGGATGGCTTCTGAGGTGCAGGGTCCAGCACAATCTTGGGCCAGGGTCCCTGGCGCTTCAGGAAAGGGTGGCACTTTGCAGAGCGCGAGCGCTGTCTGGGCTCAGGCCGTGCAGAGGGCTGAGTCACAGGAGGCGTAGTTTTAACTGGCTGTTGAGTCGGCGCCGGCTTGGGGTGACTGGCAGCAGCTGCAGAACTGGAACGCTTCGGCAGGAAGTGTCGCATGGCTTGGGACGACTTCTGTGCAGCCGTGAAACACTCGGCGAACCCTTCCACAGCAGGTCCGAAAAGGCCAGTGGGGGTGACCGGGGAGTCAAGGAAGATGGTTTTATCCGCTTCTTTGATCTCTGTCAAATTCAGCCACAAGTGGCGTTCCAGCACCACCAGGCTGGCCATCGACCTCCCAATGGCCTGTGCAGTCTTCTTTGTGGCGCGCAGGGCCAAATCGGTGGCGCTGTGCAGCCCTCTGAACACTGCAGAGTGTTCTAGCCCAGACTCATCCATGGCGCGAAGGAGCTTCGCCTAGTACACTTGGAGCACCGCCATAGAGTGTAACGCAGACGCAGCCTGGCCCGCCGAGGTGTAAGCACGACCAGCGAGGGCTGAAGTCGTTCGGCAGGGCTTCGAGGGATGAGCGGCCTTTGCCTTCCATCCGATGGCAGCGGGGGGGCAGAGGTGTGCAGCCACCGCTTCGTCCAGAGGAGGCA